ACCCCTACCATTCCCAAGGCCATCAATGCTAGGCAGGGTAAGTCTTCCCCTCCACATTTTTAAGACCAAAAAATACACCCCAAGTCCTGAGGTTCACAGCCTCCTTAGCATCCTGCCACCTTCCATCCCTCCTGAGCATGTTGTCACACGTTTCCATAGCAGCAGCAGGGCAGCTGTCCAATTCTTTTATTCATGGTATAACAGTCTGAAGCAACTACAGTTGTCTGTTTGACGGCTCAGAGTTTTCATATTATCTTCACAAGGGTGATCTGCTGTCACTCATGCATTCAGCAGCACTCCGTTAAGCACTCCGCTATCTTCTGTGCTGCAGCTAACAGAGCCTTCCCCGTTGTCCTCCGCTCTTCAAAAGATGAGCCCTCTTTCAGCAGGGTTCTGTGTGAGACCCCAGGAGCTACACTCCTACAGCCTCACTGTTTAGCCAAGTTGAAACCAAATTGTTCTTGGAGCTCCTAAAAGGACAGTGTGTGTCTTTGTGAATGTTCTGGATGAGAGTCCTACAGACTTGACTTTGTTGTAAACCAAATATTTCCATTCTGTGTCTTCTGTCTTATTTGATGTAAAAATGCAGCTATTCATGAGAAGTCTCAGACAGTATTAACAAAGGTGTATCCTTCCACACTTATCCCATACACCCCCTGTCTTCAATAATATAATCTGGAATAGAGTCCTCTGCTAGGAAGAATATTCAGGGAGACATATAGTTCAAAGTTTCTTCTCTGTCAGTGAATATGAACTATATATATATCAATGTCCCGGTACTCAGAGCTGTCAGGCAGGCCTGTTCAGGTGCTTCTGAAAAATCATACTGCTGTGCCCTGTGTCAACAAGTAAGTTCTCCCTAACTTTTCAAGTAGGGAGTTGCCTCTTGGGATTAGTGCAGTTATCCATGATCTGCCTTGCAGGCACTCTGTGAAGTCAGACAAACTCACCTCGGTTGCTTCAAACTGCCAGGCCATGACTAGAAGATCTAGACAGCTGTCCTAATACCAGTATTTCAAACGTGTTCCTCTTTGTGTCACAATCTAATGAGAAATGTCAGTCTTCATGTCCCAGATACCTGGGTTTAGCTCTGGAAAGTTACTGATTTTTCTGGTTGGAGACCCTTTTCCCATATCTTTTGTTCTAGAAAACTTTTTCCAAGTAAAATGCAGAGGTCAGGCAATACCGTTGTCTTTAGAAACAGACTAGATGTTGCTGTGCTGCTTACAGAGATTCTCACATTGAGCATCAGACTGTGTGAAAAGGTGATTTTAGGACTGTAAAAGGAAACTGCATTTCTTGGGCATTTCTTTGGGCTTCTCCCAAAAGTGACCTCCCTTTGGGATGTCCCAAAAATTCCCATTTAAAAAGCAGCCAAATGGAGTCCCAGTCATTCTTTTACTAAGCCTTACAGACTTACTGAAGTATCTGGGAACAATACTATGTCCAGAAGAGCTGTCTTTCAGCGAGTCTTCTGCCAGGCATGTTTTCATGGGTACTGCATATAGATAACCAATGAAAACAGGAAGAATGGGTGCTTGCTTGCAGTATTTCCTGTAAATATATATATTTTAGTGTAGAGGAATTTTTAGGTAACCATGGTCACGAAGTGCTAATACAGGCCTGCGTGCACAACCCAGGCTACTCCAAGGGCGATGTGTCCTTGAGCATGTAAAAGAAGAAAGTAAGATGTAAGTGAACAAAAATGAGGATGTAAAGCAGGGTGTCTAAACCGCCAAGGGAAGGAGTGTTGTTGCATGGCTGGAGCTTTGTAGCCAATTAGAAATAGAGATAGGGCGCGTGGACAATGTAATGTAGCCAATTATTAAGGGGCTGCTGGTGCGTGGCACGGTGTAACACAATAAATACCCAAGCATTGTAATAAAGTTAGAGCTTTTTGAGCTTTGAGCATACCTCTATGAGGACTTCTCACTGACTCTGCGCCCGACCTCCCACGATCGACTCCCTACATTTTAGAAAATACAACTCTTATACTTCCTCGTACTCCTCTTCCAACTAGTCTGATCAAATATATAGCTTAGGATGAGTGGAGCTGAAATGACTGGCTATTCCACCTCTAATTCCACCCTATGTGCAGCACATGGAGGGAGAAGGAAAGAAAAGAATGTGTTTAAAGATACTGCCAAAGCAACAAACAAACAAACAAAACCCCCCCCAAAAAAACCCCAAAAACTAACAATGCTGGCATAATAGTTTCCACAATGTTAATACAGACAAAGACAATGAATTTGGAAGAACTGCTACAGTTCTGTTTTTATCAAACCTTTGAATTCCCACAAATCCCACTTTCATGGAAGACAATAGGAATTCTGCTGTTAGTATCAATAGGAGTAGTGCTGGTTTTGCAGTGCCTGTTGTGGGCTTTGACCCTGCTGATGGCTATGTTCGGGAGTAGGCATACTGCGCTTGTGCAGATGATGTTAATCATCCATGTGAATGCTTGCACATAGAATATTAGGTTCTGATCCTACAGATATTTGTGCATGAACAAAACACATATAATTTCAAAGCCTCTGGGAGAAGGAAGCTATTACCCACACTGTACTTTGAATTAGGTTCTGTAGTTTCTTTACTGCCATGTGTAGGTGTGCTGGTTTTGGATGGGATATTGTTAATTTTCTTCATAGTAGGGCCTGTGTTTTTGATTTGGGCTGAAAACAGCGTTGATCATACAGGGATGATTTTCTTACCGCTAAGCAGTGCTTCCACAGAGTCAAGGCCTTTCCTGCTTCTCACACCACCCCACGAGCGAGTAGGTTGGGGGTGCCCAAGAACTTGGAAGGGGACACAGCTGGGACAGCTGACCCCAACTGGCAACCAAATAGATATTCTATACCACATGATGTCATGCTCATTACATAAAGCTGAGGGAAGTAGGAAGGGGGGATGGTTGGAGTGATGGTGTTCGTCTTCCCAAGTAACTGTCATGCATGATGTAGCCCTGCTTTCCTGGAGGTGGCTGAACACCTGCTTGTTGTTGGTAAGTGGTGAATGAGTTCTTTATTTTGCTTTGCTTTTGTGCACAGCTTTGTTTTACCTGCTAAACTGTCTTTATCACAGCCCATAAGTTTTCTCACTTTAACTCTTCTGATTCTCTCCCCGTCCCACTGGGGGAGATTGAATGAGTGGCTGTGTGGTGCTTAGTTGCCAGGTGGGGTTAAATCATGACAGTAGGATTCTTAGACAGAGCTAATCTTCTTAAGGAGAAAGATAGGCAAAGTTACTTCCTCTTGCTTTGATCCCATTTATTTGTGTGTATCTGCACATTTAATTTTGGAAGAAATAATAATCTATTAAATATGCAGAGCCTGAAAGAGTAATTTGCCTCTTCCTGAAAAAGTATCTAAGCATAATGATATTTCCAATAAATGGTTTATGTATTTTTTATAATATTTAAGCCAACCAAATATGAAACAATGAGATTGAAATTACAAATGTGAGTAGACAATATTATCATATTCAAAAAAATCTTCCTGCTCAGCTGTGTAAAAGGATACGTGCTGCTTTTAACAAATAATTTCTGAGGCTCTTTAAATAAAGCAGTGAACTGGTAATGATGCCTGTCAATTTATGAAATAACCTATTTCATCTACTGATAGGATGTCTCCAAAGGAGCATGGTACCTTATTTGTGATTTTTTTACTATTCAGGTCTTCTTGAGCTATTGGCATTCTTGAGTCCCAGTCAGAGATATGTTATTCACGGATATGCCATATACCCCTTTTCCACCTTTGCTTCCTTCTACCATAGTAAACATAGTGTTTATTGTTACATTCCCTATATATTCTTTCCGTAAATCACACTAATCAGAGAAGAAAATACTAGTTTTTATTCTTATTCTCACTAGTTTACATGCAGTGAGGTGACATAGGCACAGTCCTTTATGATCTTCTAAATGTACTTGTTGCTGAGTGCCATTTTGTTCTTACTGCCTACTGCTCACAAATGGCTTTCTCAATTTCATCCAGCCTAGTTTTTGAGAAACATTGTCAATGTATGAAAAGACTAAAAATGAAAAGAAAATTAGTACTTAGCGACACCACATCAGAAAAATTATTATTATTCTGTTATGACTACAAACAGTAGCATCAAATGTGAAAATAGACTTTAAAATTAATTAACATTTAAGTGAAATGGGTTTGGAATAGTTATTAGCTTGCTTTTAAACAGCTATGTTTACAAATACATCTCTGCTTTCTATTTTGTCCTTGCTAGGGAAACATAACAAAAAAGTACATATTTTGAGTTTCTGAATCTGTTCTATGTTCATACTTCTAGACAAACAAGGGCTCAGCTGAATATAAAATGAATGCTATTGCCCTGTTCCTCACAGCTCCAGTGAAAGTCTCAGTTACCTATTCTTTCCAAAGGCAAAGAGCCTTTTGTCGCTTCTATGTATGTGGGGCAAGAAAAGCACACTCTTCTCCATCTCCCATACTGTGACCCTTCCCACATCCCTTAGGTGAGGGACCTTTGTGTAGGCTGTGCCAACTGACTATATACATCCACAAAGACACCTCTTTACAAGCCCAGTGATGCTGCTTCCAGCCTATTGCAGCTACAAATGGATGTAAAGAGAGCAGATCTGATCCACTCTTCATTGCTATTCATACCTTAAGCTCTGTTTCACATATCTTTTCTCCTTTTCCCTATAAGCCTCTCTAGTGCTTTCCAGATTGACTGATGTAAGTGTTCAAGGTCACAGAAGCTGTGCATAAGCTTCTTGGGAGGTCAAAGATTTCATATAATCTGAACACTAGAAGTACTAAATTTTTTATTATACCCCAGTTTCCTGTGAGCATTCCAACTCAGCAAAAAAATAAATAAAAACCCAGTTCTTACTTGTCTTCTTCCTGCATGTTTGGTAATAGCTGCGAAGAGAAAAATAATAAAATTTGAACTAGCTAGAATGCTGTTATGGTAGATGAGTAATCTTTTCTCATTATCATCTACTTTGTTTAATATTTTTTCATATACAGATATTTCATTGATTGGAAGAATGATGCGGACAGCTACTTTACAATAGATGCTACTGAAGGAACCATTTCTACTAATGAATTACTGGACAGAGAAAGCACAGCACAGTACAATTTCTCTATAATTGCAAGTAAAGTTAGTAAGTATGACACAAATGGAATTAATATGCTAATGTGGTATTTTTTTCAGAAAGTAGTGCTCAGGCGTAAATATGCTGTGAAAAGTGCATATATTGACAAGAGATTATTTAAAAAGGTCCAATAAATATCATTGTGCCAGACTCACTGTGAGGCTAAGTGTGATGTCCAAACATCCCTGAATAGTAAGGTTTCTCTAGTAGCCCTCATGTAGGCACAGTTCCCTCAGAAGCTGAAAAACATTTTGTGAGCATGAAGAACATGAGGAGCTGTATGGAGAGCTTCCAATTCTTATTTTTCATTTTGTAATTCACTCCATATGAAATTAGGTTGGTCAAATAACTGGTTTGTCAATCTGCATTTTGAAGGGAGAAAAATTTAAAGACACACTCTATATTCAGACAAGAACTGCATTTAAATTGAGTCAAGATTTAAGGCCCTAAATGAATCAATATGTGCTGCATCTCTGCTTTTGTGTTTTCTATCGGCCCAAGACTTTTTGTATAACCACTTGTTTCCATATATGAATTGTGTTGTGGGTTTTTTTTTTTTCTTGTCTTTGTGTCTTTTGCAAAGTAATTTTCTAAGAACTCCCTTCTTCTATATTATGTAGCTGTGGCTTTATTTACTGCCATCCTTATGTGTAGCATTCCTCCTTCATGATCCTGTCAAACTGAAACTCTTGTAAATACATACCACCCTTTGAATACAAGTCTTTTAGTTAGAGTGGTTGTGTAAAGGCCACAGAAGTCTTTCTGTTGACATCAACAGGCTGTAGAAGAGGAGCCTTGCTGTATTTCCCATTCATTCAGTATTGTTCATGGTTCATAAATGCAAGTTTCTAAAGCAAAGAACATGTTTTCCTCAATGTATTTCTTAGCACTGATTCTTCAAAAAGTAATAAATGCTACTAACAGAAAGAGGGAGATTTTGGAAGCAGAGAAGGCATACTTTATTTACAATCAAAAACAAAACAAAACAAAAAAATCAACTAACCAAACAAAAAAACTTAGTTGTAATTATCCCAAAAAGAACCATGGGTTCTCTCCCTGGAATATGAAAGTATAACAAGGGCACTAGTGAAATGAACACCTGAATTTTATCCATAGCTTGGAAAATACAACAAGACAATAGCAGAGGAAACTGATCTATTACAAGTGACAGAGTATATGAAAATACATGCACATGTGTGTATTGACAGAAAGTCCAGCAGAACCGTAACTCATTTCCGGAGAAACTGAAAGGTGGGTAGATGCAGAGGGGAAGTCTTGTAATGGTCTATGTTTCAGTAAAGCTTGACTAGTCAGATTTAATAATTAGTGGACAAAGAACATTTGAGATTTGTAAATTTTTTCTGAAGTAAGGTAGCAGTTTTAGTAAACCTGGTGTGAAACTCTTTATTAGTCCCAAGAGTAATTAAAGCTCATTAAAATCTCCAAGTTTGCTTTTCTGTGCACCTTCCTGGCTTGTATGTAGTAATATAATGTTTATGTAGAGCTGTAGTAGTTAGGTTATATTAAGAAATTCCTGGTTTTAACAATTACCTAGTTAAGAATCCATACCTTAGACATATTTATGATTCATTTCAACATGATTCAAAATATTTATACATTGACCATTATCCATAGCATTAAAAACAATTTACATACCTGTAGTACACCAGTAATTGGCAATATTTTGGAGGATTTGAGGTATACTAATAGTCAAAACTTTCTATGCAGTTGTCTGACTAAGAGCTAGCACAGAAATAAAGGCTGTGGTTTGAGGGATGACACACTGTACACAACCAAAAAAGGTTAGAGAGAAGAAAACACCTGAAGAAAAAGTGGTGGGGGGGGAGGGGGAATTACTATATTTGAAGAATTTCTACTATAAAAATAATGGCCATTTGTTCAGTGCTGATGTAGAAACACTGAAACAGCCATCTCATCAAAGTGCACTGAACAATGCCTTGATACATACATCACTACCTAAGGAAAGCAGCCTGGTATTGCAATTAGTTGCATAAACTTGCTTCAGGAACAGACATTTTTATTACCTAAGTATTTGAAGTTCTCCCTGACCTTATCTCTGTAAAATAAATAGACTCCAAACTAGTAGTAGTCATATCAAGTTCTGTTACTTAAGAAACTTTATTGCTAAAATATGTATTTTTCTTTCTCATTGTGAAAGATGAACAAAAAAATACCTGCTCCTTTTAGACACATCCTAATGGTCATTCTGTAAATTACCTTTTCTTGAACAGGCCAATTATAAAGAAAGCCCACCAGCTTTATCTCCATCACAACAGAGAGAAAAGTAAATTAATCCAGCTTTGCCATTATTTCCCTAAATGTGGAAAACAATGCCAAGGCCTTGAGCGGATTTGCATGGACTCCCTGCTTGTGCCTTAGCCCTGGAACCTTCTAGTGATTGTTGTCCTTTGTTCTTCTGTAGCTTCAGTATGAAACCATGTACAAATAACAGATGTTGTTTGTGTTGCATTTTTTCTCACAGCCAGTAAAGTCTTGAAGTAATATGACTTCTTAGTAATCAAGTCAATTTTCAAACAGTGGCATAAATGGAATGCAATTTAGATAGCTAAATATAGCAGCAGGCAAATGATAAATGTAAACGTAGATATGGATATACCATTTAGGCTTCTCTTAAAAGCTGATAAATCTATTATTACCCCTAAAGCACCATAAGTCATAATTTTTAAAGGAATACATTTAAAGAATGGAGCAGAAGTATCTTGTGTTCATTAAAGTAACCTTTGCTAACATCACCTATCATGGGGAAAAAAACCCACAAATGTCTTGTTCAAAAACCTGTTTGTTTGAGAATCTGTAAGAGGTTTCATGTTCATTATGCATTCATTTGACATATATATAGGTAGACATGTACATGTATATATATATAATATTATTCCTCCCTAAACTTCATGTCCTGCCCCTTCATCGCCACCTACAACAAATATGGTGCAGGTTGGCATCTTGAACAGAGGCAGAACCTGGACCCTTAGCAAACAGTTTATTGTGAAATCAGGGTGTCCTAGGCTTGTTTGTCTCAACCTGTACACTCATAGGCAGGGAAGTCCTGGTTACCCAGCAATAACCCAGTGTACCTTGCATATGGACATCAGCTGCTGGTCCCACATAGGCAACTGGGATAAGGAAAATTATTCTACCCAAATTATGCAATGAGCCACTCTCATGTCTCAGAGGTATACCCGGGATGGAGTAATGGATAGCCTACAATCATGTTCAACACGACAACGTAAGTTTGTTCTCACCCTTGTTAAAGAAGCCTGTCCCAAAGTAGAGATCTTTTTAAGTGGGAGGTGGGTGATTGTTCTGCAGACATATGGATGATGACGCAGATGTGACGACAGCTGAATGCAGAGGGTCCCTTATCCATCTCTGAAAAGAAATAAATCAGCTTTTATATAGAACAAAATGCATGAACAGAGATGAGAGGTTTCAGGCTCATATTTTTTTCTTCCCATTTCACTTCCCAATTTCTCCATAGGTTTTTTTCTCTCCTTTACTATATTTCATTGCAGTTTTTTTGCTTCTTAGAGTAAATCAATATCCTAGCCTTCATGGTTGCTGCTTCTGAACATTTTGGATCCTACAGATTCTGTCCAAACTAATAAATTAAACATGGCTTTCCTTCATTTCAAGCACAAAGGCCAGCTGGTACTGAGTAGCCTATTTCTATGCCATTAAACACTCT